ACAGCTGGGTGAGGGGCGTCCCCAGCAGCCCCGGGGACCTCCTGGTCCCCCTCTGCTCCCACCCCGGCAGCACGGTCCCCAGAAACACGGGGGGCAGCACCCACACCTGGTTGAGGACAACCCAGCTGGGATCGATCTGGGCATCCCCCTCAGGGTCGAGGATGACGGTCTGGTAGGCACGGAAGTCGGTCAGCGTCACCTCGGCGCTCTCAGGGCACACGTCCAGCTGGTCCACCACCGTGTCGTTGTCAAAGTCTTCCTCGCACACGTCACCCACGCCGTTCCCTGGGGACACGTGCCCCGGTCAGGGCCCGGCTGAGCCCAGGCGGCTCTGCCTCCTCCCCCCTGCTCCGTGCTCACCGTCCGAGTCCTTCTGGTTGGGGTTGGGGATGAGGCGGCAGTTGTCTGGGCCAGGCGCCACATAGTCAGGGATGCCATCGTTGTCATCGTCATTGTCACAGTCATCCCCCAGCCCATCGTTGTCCGAGTCCAGCTGGGAGCTGTTGGGGATCTCGGCGCAGTTGTCCTTGGTGTCCTGATGCCCATCCCCATCGCTGGGAGCGAGAACGGGGTCAGAGCAGCGCCATAAACCGGGGACCCGGCACTGCATCCCAGCACCCTTGCCAACCCCGAAAACCCCGTTGTCCCCCCTCCTGGGCCCCCAAGCTAGGAACCCAGTTCTGCCCCCAGGGACGTGTTGGGACAGCACGTGACGGGGAGGTGACCCCGCAGCAGCGTGGTCCCCACCTGTCCTCGTTGGTGTCACAGATGTCTCCTACCAGGTCGCTGTCCATATCTGTCGGGAGGAGACCAGAGCCCTAGATTCAGCAGAACCCCCGGGGCGAGGGGGCCCACCCATGCTGCAGGAGGACCCCCCCCTGCTGGGCAGGGTCCTGCATGCCCGGGCCCCTGCCCCAGCCTGCGCTGCCTGGCCCCGGCCATACCTGAGTGGGGTTGCTCATTTCAGGGCAACTGTCACAGGCATCCCCGACACCATCCTCGTCCCGGTCCGTCTGCAGAGGGTTGGGCACCTTGGGGCAGTTATCCAGCATGTTGGGAATCCCTGCAAGGACAGCGCTGGGTGGATGCCCTCACCCCCCAGCCTGGCGTGGACAGCATCCCCGCTCCGCGAGCGGCCCCAGCTCCGTGCAGGCAGGCCAGCCCCGAGAGCCGCTCACCGTCCCCCTCAATGTCATTATCACAAGCGTCCCCCTCGCCGTTGCTGTCCGTGTCCCGCTGGTCATTATTGGGCACGTTGGGGCAGTTGTCGCAGGCATCCCCGAAGGAGTCGGTGTCTGAGTTCTGCTGGTCCTTGTTGGGGAAGAGCCGGCAGTTGTCCTGCGGGGAAGAGGACAGGGATGCCTGCGCCGCAGTGACTGGCAGACAAGAGGCCACAGTCCCACGCAGGTCAGGGCGGGAGGACATCTCCTCCAGCACACCACGTAAATCCATTCCAGAGCCTGCTGATCCCCAGGAGAAGTATCTTGAGAGCGTCAGCACCAAGCCAAAGGGAAAAGCCCTTTGCCAGAGCTGCAGGCACGTCCCGCCCACCCAGCACAGCCACCTCCACGTTCTTGATGCCATCGCCGTCGGCATCATCGTCACACTGGTCCCCAATGCCGTCGTTGTCGGCATCCTCCTGCCCCGAATTCGGCGTCAGGCGGCAGTTGTCCTGCAGACACAGGCAGTGTTAAAGACAGCGAGGGGACAAGGTCCGAAGCACAGCCCTGCCACGGGCTCCCCAAGCCCTGGCACCCCCTGTGCGGGGATGCCGCCCTCCCTCTCCGGGACACCCACCTGCTTGCAGTGCTTGTTATTGTCGATGCAGGGCAAGGGCTCGTCCGGGTAGCCATCGAGGTCTGTGTCTTGCCCACACACGTTGCCGTTGCCAGCCCAGCCCACGTTGCACTGAAGAAAGAAGAAATCAGGGGCTGGGAAGTGGGGAAGGGCCCTGGCAGAACCAACTGCTGCCCGTGCTAATACTCCCTGCACCCTCCGGCTTCGCCGTCCTCCTGCCCCTGTCCCCCACTCACCGCACAGGAAATTTCACCATTCCTCTCGAACACGCAGAAGCCGTTGATGTCACAGGGGTTGGAGGTCGGAGTGCTGCAGGACTTCTGTGGGACGCAGCCGGATGTTTGATTCCCCACAAAGCCCGACTTGCAGGGACCACACTTGTAGGAACCCTGGGAGAGAGAGGGCAGGGGCAGGATTAGGGGTATAGAGTGGCCACAGACGCCAGGCAGGGGAGCGGGGCAGCTCTGCTCACCAGCGTGTTGGTGCAGATGGAGTTGGGGTCACAGCCCCCGTTGTTTCCATCGTTGCATTCATCAACATCCGTGCAAACCTGCGAGCAGCGCGGGAGAAACGGTCACCCGGGGCCTTTCCCTGCCTGCAGCTCTGCCCATGCCTGTGCCCTGCCCAGGAAAGCTGCTCTCCTCTGGCAGGCACAGCATCCTCCGCCCATCCCTGCAGCTGAGCAGCCCGGTGGGGACTTGGCTAAGTCCTGTGGCACCACACTCACCTGCTTGCTGGCCCTCGCGTAGTCAGCCCCCACACCGGAGACGGTGTTGCCCTGATAACCGCGGGGACAGGGCTCGCAGCGGAAGCCAGGGGCCGTGTTGATGCACTTGGAGCCGGGGAAGCAGGGGTTGGCATGAGCGCACTGTGGCACGGGGAGAGAGAAAGGCTTCACCCTCGGGCACGGCGTCCTGCACGTCAGGGTGGCCGCTGCCCTGGGGCATCCTGGCAGGGCCCTTCCCTGGCTTGAGGATGCGTCCGGAGAGGGGAAGCATCGTCTGCCTGCGCTGCTCTGGCAGCGCTGGGGCTCAGGCGTCGTCTGCTGACCCGCCACGGGTGCGTGCCCACCTCATCGATGTCGGCGCAGTGCGTGCCATTGCCCTCCAGCCCCGGCGGGCAGGGCCCGCAGCGGTACCCGGGGTACTCGTACGTCTCCATGCAGTCCACACCGCTGAAGCAGGGGCTGGGGTTGCAGCGGGACCGGTGCTCGGGGAAGCCTGAGAAGAGGAGGGCCAGGCAGGGGGTGAGCCGGGGCGGCCCTTTGCCCCCCGAGGTGGGAGCAGAGCCTTGCCAGCACTCACCGCAGACCTGGCACTCCATGATGGTGTTGCGGATCAAAGACATCTCCTTCACCTGCAAGGCAGCAGAGCACCGAGAGTCAGGGGGATGCAGTGTGCTGGCTGGCACCCTGCTCTTGGGCAAACCCAGCCCCGGGAGAGCTGACGCTGCCCCACCGCCTCACCTGGTCCCTAATGTCTTCCCGCAGCTCTGTCAAGATGCGGTTGAAGAGGGTCAGCTGCGTGACCAGCGCCTTGGTCTGCTCTCCTGCCAGGAGCAGAAAGGACAAGGTCAGCCCTGGGACAGATGCAGCCTCCCAGGGCCGTGGGCTGGGGACTGCTCTGCCCCCCAGCACTGAACTGGGAGGACAAGGCAGCTGATGGCCCTTCCTCCTCCTCCCTGGTCCACACAGGTCCCCTTCCCATGTAGCACACCCGTGCCCTCCGATCCACCCCCTCCTGGGGCCCTGCACAGGCGCTTGGGGCACTGCGACAGGCTGCGGAGGGTTTTCCGCCTCCGTGGGGCCCCAAACACTGCCATCGCCCTCACGCCAGGGAAAGGGGGAAACAGAGCAGGGACTTACCCAGGATGGATGCCAGCACGCTTGTCACTGCAAGGGGAGAGACGAGAGATTACCGGATGCTGCCATCAAAGCCCAGCAGCCTCACCTTGTGTGGTCGCTTGTGGTCA